TATGAAATATGATATGTCAAGAGCTATGTAATGTTTTGAACAACTAATAATAAAAATAAAAAAAATTAAAAAAAAATTAGGACCAAAGTCCTAATCAGTATGGGGTCTCCTTTGGAGTGATGAGTATATACGGGGAGTTGATAGAGAAATGATAGCTCCACATCTTTGTGAATATAGTGGAAACCACTGAATTACATATTTTTAAAGGTTGAACCTTATAATTTATAAACTATACCTCAATTTTCAAAAATCCTATTTCTGATTTGACTTATAAAGGCATGCCTATACCCTGCTTATCAAGTCTCTTGGCCTTCAAGCCTCCCATTCCCCCTTCAAATTCACTTCCTTCACTTACAAGATCCTCCTTCTGTTCCTTAATCACTGATCTTGTTTTAGGACTTGGTACTAACAACCTCCCTCTAATTGGAATGCTAGTACTTCCCATCCTCACCAGTCGGATCCACTTTCATTCAAAGTGCAGCTCAAATTATACCTTCCCTAATAACCAATCTAAGGTAGCCAAGTAGTCATTCTCCAACACATCATCTCATTTCAATCCTCTGAATCTGTCCAATCATTTTCTAGTTTATTTATGTACTTGCTCATCTGTTTTCTCCACTAGTATGAGACTTCATAAGAGCATGGACTTGCCTTACATATATGATTAACAATTGCATCTCAGAGGTCTAACTCTAGAACAATACATGAACATAGTAGATATTCAATAAGCACTTGTGGGAAAAATACATGTTGGCTATTTTTTATTATTGTTGTCATTATTGCTAGGTAAGCAGGGTCCCTTGTAAATTATCTGAAGAGTTATGAATTTAACCTAAAGACTATGCAATGATGCTAGAAGAGATTTAAATAGGGAGTGGCATGCACAATCAGTGTACAATATATGGGTGTTCTGGCCAGGGTAATAACAACTCCCTTCAAATCACAGTACTAAAATATTTTTTAAGTTTGGCCATAGTTCTCACACCTAGCATTCATAAGAATCCCTACTAGGAACAAAATTAACCAAATTATATTATATAATGTATGCATGTACAAATATGCATACATACACACACACATATATAATCTCCTCCTCCTGGAGGGCTTATGAAAAGAGGTTATCATGCCCTACCCACCCCTACCCCCAGAGTTTCAAATTCAGAAGATGTAGAATGGGTCTAAGAATTTGCATTTCTGTAAATTCCCAGGTGATGGTGAATCTATTGCTCAGGAAGCTACACTTGGAGAACCCTGGACAGAGCTCTTTCTAGGAGAAAAGAGAACTAGGATCAAATGGTGACGGCCCCTTCTCCTACTGCTCCAAGCTCTGTTTCCAAACTTGTAAACCCCTCACAGCAAAATAAAAGCCTCCAGCCAACTAGATCAAATCTCCTTGATGGCATTTTAGAATTCCTGTTGGTTAGGAAGGAGAAGGGAAGGGAAATGAGGGAATGAAGGGGAAGAGGATCTCACTCCCATTCTTCCACCCTCATTAGATTCTTCCTGAGCAGAACTTCACATAAATATTTTCTTCAACCTCTAAGATTTTTAGGAGAGTTCTGTACCCCATGATAAAGCGTCTTGGGTAGGATGCCTAGTGCCTTTGTCCAGCTTGAAAAACATGGTTATATTTGTGGATTTGAAAGATGCTTCTGGTTATAAGGATAAAAATGAATAGGAATGATACAAGATTTTGGACAAAAAGTTGTGAAATTATTAAGTAATCCAGGTGAGGAGAGAGACAATAGACACACAGAGAATAAAAAAAAGAATGGTTTTGAGAGTTATTTTGGAAATATAGTTGATAGGACATAGTGACTAACTATATGTAGAGAGAGGAAAGAACCAAGGATGATTCCTTGGTCTCTGCAGAACAGGGTGCATGGCATTTACTAACATAGGAAACATTGGAGAAGGATTTGCATTAAGGAGATAGAAGATAAGCCTCTTTTTTAGTCCTGCTGATTTTGAGATACCATAGACACATCCAGGTAGTGTGTCCAGGAGGCAGCTGTATAGATGAATATATGGGTCTGGCCCTCAGTAGACAAGTCTGGGCTGGAGATATAAATTTGGGAGTCATCAGCATATAGATGGTAATTAAAGCCTTGGGAGAAGATGACATCACCCAACGAGGGCATACAAAGCACTATGAGGTTTTCAACTTAAGAGTAAAATTCACTGATTCATGGGCTATCTGTATGCTGAGTTAATCACACCTGGGAAAAGCCTTGTTATTTGGTTGATGTGGCCAAATTCAAAGGCACTACCATTATTTACTGGAAACATTCTACTTAATAAAAGGGACTAGTGCCAATGATGATGGTGATGACAACAATGATGGTGATGATGAAAACAAAAACAACATGACAGCACTGGGTTCTCACTGCGTGCCAGACACTGTTCTAAGTCCTTCTCATGTAGACTAATTACTGAAAGTAGTTACAACCCTATGAGGTAGTTATTATTATTAGCCTCACTTTACCAGTGAGGAAACTGAAGCAGAGAGAAGTTAAGTCACTTACATAAGGTCACATAATAAGTGGCAGTGTCAGGAGTCTGGTTCCAAGTCTGTGCTGTTATAAACACCTTACACACTGACTAAACCCAAATATTATTATTCAGAACACATAAAAAAGAAAAAAATTAACATATTAATGATTTTGACATACGTATTGAGAAATTCTTACACTAATTTACTCAATTCATTAACATAAAATCCATAGGCCATTGGAAAATGTAAATGCCTACTCTCTGTATTAACAGATTCTTCCCATAGCTTTGTTTTCAACTTTTCTTAATAAACAAACAGATAACCTCTATTTTAGCTCTCACAACAACAACACACATTTTTGTGTAACTACTAATAACTAGTTTGTTAATGTAAAGATCATCTGTTCATCTTTTCTTAGAAAATACTTAATACTATTATTCAGGTATTTTAATGTCATTTTTTTCTCTTCAAAGTATTTTATTTTAGATAATTAATTTTCCAGTATCTCATATGAGAAAAAATCTATCATTTCCACTATATAAATAAGAAAACCTTCCAGGCATGGTGGCGCGCATGCCTGTAATCCCAGCGACTCTAGAGGCTGAGGCAAGGGATTGCAAGTCAAGAAGCCAGTTTGGGCAATTTACCAAGTCCCTATCTCCAAATAAAAAATAAAAAGGGCCAGAGGTGTAGCTTAGTGGCAAAGTACCCTGGGCTCAATCCCTAGTACTGTGAAGAAAAAAGAAAAAGAACCAAAAGATGAATTACTAGTCTAGGGGAGAGTAAACTTCAGAATCAAAACTCCAAATCTAGTCCCTCCTCAAAAAATTTCAAATATTCAAATGCATGAATAATTGACATCGATATTATTACATGATAAATTCAGCTTACCTCAAAAGATCAGAAAGAGTAATTGTTTCTCTCTGCCAAAGTAAGGACAGATAGCAGAAAGCAAGTGTCCTCGGCACAGTCATCTTCACAACTCCTTTTTCCTTTCGTTCTGAATATTCAACTCCATCAAGAGATCCAGAACAGATAGATGCTGATTCTTAGGAGATTAAGCAAGAGTTTTTAAAATGTAAGTTAATTATTTTGGAGTAAAAAATCAAAAAGGCATTTTAAATATCCTAAAATGAAGTTATAACTGATAATCTTTACAAAGATCAATTTGACAATAAAAAGCAATCAAAGTTTAGAAGAAAATCAGCCAAAAATGTAATTGAGGTCAGGCGCAATGGTATGCACCTATAATCCCAGCTACTTGGGAAGCTGAGGCAAGAGGATCACAAGTCCAAGACCAACTGGGGCAACTTAGTAAAACCCTGTCTCAAAAAAGAAACCAAAAAGGGAGGGAGGGGCTGGGTCTAAGGGTACAACTCAGCAGCAGTGAGCTTGCCTAGCATTCAAAAGGCCCTGGATTAAATTCTTAGTATATGATTTTTAAAATAATTAAAGATGAACAATAACAAAGCAAAGAAAAAATGTGTAACTCCTTTAATTCAGGCCTCAAATTGCATGTCCTCTTCTCAGAGATACCTTCCCAAACTCTTTGAGCTAAAGCAGTACCTCCTCCCATCCCATCCTCCAGGTACCCTCCACCACATACATTATTGTGTCCTTATCCTTCATTAAGCAAATACTTATTCATCTCATTGTTTGTGTCTCAGGAAATGCCTCTCTCTGAACTTACATTTTAGTAATGGGAAACAGACCAATAAACAAAAAAGGCAACTGACAGACGGTGGTGCTATATAGGAAAATAGCCATGCAGGGTCTACCTTGATGGGAAGGGAGGAGATGTGCAGTTTTATGCTGGTGGTCAGAGAGATCTCTCTGAGAAGATGACATCTGATCAGAGACCCACATGAATTCAGAGAAGAGACTAAGGATCTCAGGAGGAACAACAAGTGCCTCAGCAGGAGCAAGCATGCAAGAACAGTGGGGAGAGGCATCAGTCACTAGGGAAAATGGGAAGAGATGAAAGCTGAGAGAGAAAAAGCTAGCAGGTAGGGCCTTGTTGGCCATGATTTGTATGTTGGCTTTCATTCTAAGTATGATAAGTTTCTGGAGAGTTTTAAACATAGGAGCAACATGATCTCATTTCTGTACTGGAAAGGTCACTCTGTCTGTTATATGGAGTTACAAGAGGACAGGAATAGGAACTGGTCATTCTCCTATGAGGAGGATGGCAGAGACTTGGGCTTAAGCACTTGCAGATGGTAAGAGTGGCTGATTCTAGATCAATTCTGAAAGCAGAGTCAAAAGGACTTGGTAATAGACTGAATGTAAGGTTCATGGGAGAAAAGGAGAAGACAAGTTATGAATCTAAGGTGTTTGGCCTGAGCAACAAAATGAAGATCCCATTTACTGAGATAAGGGAGATGGCAAAGAGATTTGACAAGAGAAATCAAGATGTCAGAATTGCAATGTTCAGTGTCAGATCTTCAATAGTAAGTAGGCAGGTGAATATAAACCTAGAATAGAGGAGAGACTAAAGATAGGGAATGTTTTACTTTCAGGATATGATGGTGGTTGATCAAGCCACAGTATTAGTCACCTAAGGGGTGAGGGTAGAGAAGCAGGGCTAGGAATGGCTCTAAGAAACTCCAAGTTTTCTTGAACAGAAACTCTGAAAATAATTTTTCAAAAACCCCTTTTTCAAATTCTATAAATTCTTCTTTCAGAGAACTTATCAGTAACCAAACATTTTATGTGTGCTTTTATTATCTATCTCCTCTTACTATACTATAAACACCTCAAAGGCAGACAGTTTTGCTGACCATTTGTCCCCAGAGCCCAGAACAATTCCCAGAACAGAGTAGGAACCAAAAAAAAAAAATATTCAGCAACAAACTGTTCAACACTTCTAAGATTCTGTCCTAAAGAAATGGTCTTAGAAACATGCAAATGTTTGCCAAGCACCTGTAATCCCAGGGACTCAGGAGGCTGAGGCAGGAGCATCACAAGACAGAGAACAGCCTTAGCAACTTAGTGAGGCTATAAGCAACTCAGCAAGACCCTGTCTCAAAATAAGAAATAAAAACGTTTGGGGATATAACTCAATGTTAAAGTGCCCCTGGATTCAATCCCCAGTACAAACAAAACAAAACAAAACAAAACAAAACAAACACACACAGATTTAAAGTGAAGGAATATTGTGCAGCACTACTAATAATATGAAAAAATTTAGGGGCTGGGGATGTGGCTCAAGCGGTAGCGCGCTCACCTGGCATGCGTGCGGCCCGGGTTCGATCCTCAGCACCACATACAAACAAAGATGTTGTGTACACAGAGAACTAAAAAATAAATATTAAAATTCTCTCTCTCTCTCTATCCCTCTCTCACTCTGTCTTTAATAAATAAATAAATATACTTAAAAAAAAAGAAAAAATTTAGAACAACGTAAGCACCAAGAATAGAAACTTAATTACGTAATTCCACACAACTGTATACTCCATAATAATTTCCATAATGCTTTAGCTCAGCAGTTCTCAAAGTATAGTCCCTGAAATAGGAGCATCAGTGTCATCTGAGAACTTAACAGAAACTTAAATTACTGTATTTTAAAAAGCTCTCCAGAAGACTCTGCCAAATGCCAACATTTGAGGACCACTGCTTTAAAAGTAGAATGCAGATTTCCTCAAAATACTGTTACATACATACACACACACACACACACACACACACACACACACACTTTTCATATAGTCCTCTCATCATGTAAGGACCTCCAGTTAAGATGGCAGATTAAAAATACTTTAGCTTCTGCTCTCTCCCACTACAACAATTAGTAACTGTTAAAACTATAAAAATCCAAGAACAAATAACATGGAAAAGGAGATAACAGCAATAAAATTTTAGAAGCTGGAAAGTATATGGCTAGGTAAGGAGTTAGTGAAAACTAGATCCAAAGTGAGCAGCAGAAAGGCCAAAAAGCAATCTAATTTTTCACTAGAGATCCCTAAAGGCGGCTCAGGAATTGATTAAATTAGATACCCCTAGAAACTGGATGAGGGCAGGGATAACACCAGGAGGACTGCTTGAAAGTCTTGATTTAAAAACAGGGATGTAGCTCATGGTTACAGTGGTACAGCACTTGTCCAGTATGCAAGAGGCCCTTGCTTCAGCTGCATTTAACAATAAATGCAAAGAAGGGAAGGAGGAAGATGCCCACACACCCAGATTCTTACCCCAACTCTATACAGCCATGTGACTGCCCCTCCCCAATCTTGGCATAAAATTGGAAGTCTCTCCTCTACAGAGTAAAACAAAGAATCTCTAGAATAAGGTAAGTCACTAACATTGCATGGTGGAAAATGAAAACAGGAGAATTAAGTGAAAGTCCATGTGCTGAGTACTGTAACAAACTCCCAACCCCCTCCAGGCTGCTTCTTGCCCAGTTCCCAGAACTGATTGCCAGGATTATACACTTGCTAAAGAGAAGACTCAAAGAGATTTCTCTGGGGAATCTGATCAACTTGTTGGGGGTGGGGTAAGTGGGTGGAGATTTAAAGATAACAATGGAGGTTCACTAAGAAGATAACCCATCTAGATCACCCCTGTGTACAGAACAGAGCTGACAAGACTCACCACATGCACAAAACTTTCGTGCGTGTCTCTCTTTCTGGACTGTTTTTATTTGTATTGGTGCTGGGCATCAAAATCAGGGCCTCTACTGATCAAAATCTCCCCAGCTCTTTTGTTTCCTCCATTTTTTTTTATTTCTATTTTTTTTTATTTGTAGTTTGACACAAATCCTTTATTCTTTATTTTTCTGTGATGCTGGGGATTGAACCTAGTACCTAGCTCATGCTAGGCAAGTGCTCTACCACTGCACCACAACCCCAGCCCCTCCTCCATTCTTAACTAAGAAGAGCCACCATAGATTCACTAAAAATCTGAAGAACATCTCTATCATAAAAAACAGGAGTGAAAATAATCAAATCAGAGAGAAAAATCATTAATATCCTCTGTGAAATAAGAAAAGGTGCTCCACAAAAAAATGAGGAAATAAACGAGGAAAAAAGATTAAGTGAAATCCAGAAAATAAGAAAATCAACAAAAGAGAAGTGACAGAATCACAGGATGGTAGTAAAAGAGATTCCAAAGTCGGCCAGGACATAGGTCTTGGGACAATGCTGGAGAGAATTCTTTCAGAAGATAAAATTAATACAACATTTAAGGTAAAGAGGAGATTTTTAAGAACTGGGAGAAGGTATAAAGACACATTAGTAATAAATTATAGATTAGTACAAAAAGAAAAAAATGATAAATTAGTAATAAATAGAAAAGTAATCAAATAACAATAATTAACTAAGGAATTTTAAAGGATACACAGAAAAATTATATAAGCTATATGTTTCAGTTCTGAATAGCATTTTTATATTTATAATCATTTAGGCACTAAATACTGATCTAGTTAAAAAAAATGTATAATTGGATTGGCAAGATGGAGAATGAGAAATACAGAATCATGTTCTGGGGATGATCTGGGGAAGAGAGGCAGCAGAGATGTATGAAAGATCTAAGACTCCATCTTCCACAATTCGGAATTCAATAGCCAGAAATTAACCAGAAATTAAGATTACACTTGAGGCATGTGATTCGGAGATATAGATGTTACAAAAAATTGAAAACAGTGTCTCTTGGGAAAAGAACATTCAGACGGATGGTGAACTATACACTTTTTTGTTGTTGCTGTTTTTGCAATTTTTCATAACAAGATTTGGAAATGATCTGAATTACACACATGTAGAATTTTAATTAAGAATTTTTAAAAGGGGGCTGGGATTGTGGCTCAGCGATAGATCACTTGCCTAGCATGTGGGAGGCCCTGGGTTCGATCCTCAGCACCACATAAAAGTAAATAAATAAAATAAAGGTATTGTGTTCAACTACAACTAAAAAATAAATACTTTAAAAAAAGAATTTAAAGAAAGCAGAAACAGTTTACATTTTTGCAAAAACAAAACAAAAATCTTTCCCTTTCCTTATATATACACATGAAGAAAGAACTTCTAGATGATCAACTACAGCAGTAGTGGTTATTTCTGGGTGGTTCAAAAACCAGTGATTTTATTTATTTATTTTTTTTTTAAAAGAGAGAGAAAGAGAGACAGAGAGAATTTTTTTAATATTTTTTTTTTTAGTTTTCGGCAGACACAACATCTTTGTATGTGCTGTTGAGGATCAACCCAGGCCGCACGAATGACAGGCGAGCGCGCTACTGCTTGAGCCACATCCCCAGCCCCTGATTTTATTTTCTTTGTGAGTATCTTCATCTAATAGTTCTGTATTGAGGTCCATTCATGAATTTAGCATAAAACCTAACAGGTCTAAAAATCATCATCAACTAAAAAAACAAACAAAAAAATCCTTAACAAAGGTAAACAAAACAATTGTGATGCTTTAAAAGTAATCAATATCTTCTTTTAAAAGGCTTGCATCGTTTTAGAGTCACAGTATGTATGAGACTGTCTTGAGTTTAAGGTTGCCTGAAAACATGAAGAAGAAAATTCCAAAGAGTCATTGCTGTCCAATCATCCTCTGATTCTAACACTTGACTTATTTGGACACAAAAACTAACTTATCTGACATCTGTGTCACTGTGCAGTCCAGCAAGACATGGAGATATGCTGGCTGATAACAATTTTTAACCTTTGGCAATTAAAGGTTTGCAAAGAAACAGTCCATACAAGAAATATTTTGTTTCAAGCTGGGGCTATGGCTCAGTGGTAAAGTACTTGCCTAGCATGGGTGAGGCACTGGGTTCGATCCTCAGCACCACATAAAAATAAAGAAAGAAAGAAATATTTTGTTTCAAATTTTATATTACCACTGTAAACTCAAGATTTCAATAAACAACCCCTAATACCAGAGAAGTTGGAGCCTATTTCCCAAAGAAATATTATCAGCACATATCAAGATTGTTATAACCTGTAACAAAAGCCTGGTTAAGTTCTCTGTGGTCTGTTTTCCACCATGATTTTATAAAGAAAAAAATGTACTGAAGGAACACCTAAAACAAATAAATATTTTATGGAGAAGGTCTATATTCATAATCTTAAGTATATTCTTAAATATTTAAAGTTATAAAATAAAATTAAAAAGTAATACATACACATAACAGTAAATTTTATTCAGCTTGCTTTAAGCTATACTTAGAAACTGTATATTATCATGCAAAGTTACATTTTTTCTGCTACAAACTTCTTTGAAAATTCTAAGCCCACATTACACACACACACACACACACACACACACACACACACACACACACACACATTCTTTTTTGATCTAGCTTCCTTCTTTCTGGATCTACTTTCTCTTTATCTCCCTTCAAAAATCATACAAATTTACTCACCTGGAGATAATGTACCTTTTTAAAAACTGCACCAAAATTTTATTTAATTTGCCTTTTTCTCAGGCATGAGATTCAGCAAGTCATTCTTCATTAGATCAAATTCTCTTTCTGAGAATATCACAAGATACGATTAAACTATTTTTAAGATGCAGTACTAGCTTTAAATTTTTGAACAGTTTAAGTTCTGATTCTTACCTGGTTGTGATGCTTTGGTGATGGGGAAAGGCTTTTGAGTTTGGGCATCAGGCTGAGACTCTGCTCCACTTTCAACAAAAGACAGATGGCTAACATCACTCAGCAGCTCAGGCTCACTAGCCCAGTCCGACTGACTTAGGTCATCTTCCAAAATCTATTCACAAAATAATTTAAATAAAAATACTGCACAGGAGTTTAAAAAAGCTAATTTCTGTGAACTTCTTTACCATCATAAATACCATAAGAGAAATATTACAGAGAGCTGCCAAGTCCCTAACTCTGAAAAGTATTTACTTCTGAAACACAATCCTGGATAGCCCCCAGCAATGCTGCTTTTTTTTTTTTTTAAAGAGAGAGGGAGAGAAGAGGAGAGAATTTTTAATATTTATTTTTTAATTCTTGGCGGACACAACATCTTTGTTGGTATGTGGTGCTGAGGATCGAACCCGGGCAGCACGCATGCCAGGCGAGCGCGCTACCGCTTGAGCCACATCCCCAGCCCTAGCAATGCTTCTTAAAGAAGGGCTACAGGGGCTGGAGTTGTAGCTCAGTGGTAGAGTGCTTGCCTCGCACACATGAGGTCCTGGGTTCGATCCCCAGCACTACATAAAAATGAACAAATAAAAATAAAGATATTAAAAAAAAGAAGAAGAAGAAAAAGAAGGGCTACAGACAAGGATGAGTGAAGAAATGCGGCCAGCAGAGCAGAAGGGTCTCCTCCTCCCCCCACCCACACTTCTCTTATAGCACTAATATCCTCATAATGAAAACATCAGCAAATAATGGCTTCATGCACACTGTCTGGCTTCCTTCTACAAAACCTACTTGGGGAATTTTTGCTTCCTAATCTTGTTCATTCTGTTTCTCCTGCTTGAACTGTCTTTCTTTTCTTTTCCCTCTCTTTCCAACCCATTCTTCTTCTATGATTTCTCATTTCTTTGAATTCCTATTGCACTTACTGTTTATAACGTATAATCGACAAGGATGTACCATCTCATCCCATTGGTTGATAGGTCACACACGCAGTGTGAATGAAGTGATCAGAGTGTCACTAAGAAGGTCAGCTGGCTGGCTAACAACCTCATTAGCTGACCTTACCTTGAGGAACTGGTTGCAAGCAAAAAGCATCAATATTAGCCCTTCAGGTCAAGAAACTTGATCCTATTACAAGTTGATAAGACATATTTAAGAAGCTCACTAGAGAATGAAACTTAAAAAAAAAAAAAAAAAAAAAACAGGGAATGGGATAAAATGCTGGCATTTTCTGTCAAGCATAACTCCTCCCTCCCTGTGGGGAAGCCACAAAAGGTAAGGCATGGACTCTAAGAAAACTGAAGCAATCAGAAGAAAACTCCTGGGAATGGGCTGGTGGCTCAGCGGTAGAGCATTCACCTAGCACCTGCAAGGCACTGGGTTCAATCCTCAGCACCACAATAAAACAAGTAAATAAAATAAAAGTATTGTGTCCAACTACAAATAAGAAAAAAAAAAAAAAAAAAAACTTCCTCAGGCTCCTGCAGCAAGCACCTATGAGCAGCTCACATTATCCTTTGCCCTCTTCCCAATTCTTCTGGATCATCCAAACTCCCACCTATAGCCAATTTCTCCATTTGTTCAATCGATTCTACTTCTCTTACCTATTCAAAGATAACATTTCCATTTTTTCTCTCCATTGTGAATACTACTTCTCTCCTGTATCATTCCATCAGTACACAAATATGCCCTAATTTATAATACTTTTTAAAAAACTTCCTCTTGACCTCAGCTCCCACACAATTTCTCTGTACTTCTTTGCAGCAAAATTCTTCAATAAAATTCTGAAGTGCTATCTCAAATTTCTCTTCTCTCAATCTATCTATGCCCCAACTGCAATCAATTAACTCCCTGGTGATGTCCACCAGCCTTACGGTTTTAAATATTAGCTACTACACTTTAATTATGAAATATACTTTATCCCCTTTAACATCCTTGAAATCACGATATAGATTATAATTGGTGGAACATCATGATTTAATCTGCAGCATTTTTTTTTCTGAGTACTTCCAATAATGGTGTATCTTATAAACAATAGCATTCTAGATTTAATGATGGTAGTGCAAACTGACAGCTTTCAATTTCTATCTCTAGCCTAGACTTTTCTCCTGAACTACAGACTTAAATGTCTAACTGCACTTGACATTTCCTCTTGGATATCTCACACCTGTCTCAAACTTTTAACATGCCCCAAACTAAACTCCTGATGTTCTTGTTCCACCTGCCATTTCAGTTGATGGTAACTCCTTGCTTCAGCTGCTCAGGCCAAAAACTTTATAATAGTCACCCTTTTCTCTCCCACACCCCACATCCAGTCCATCAGGAAATCCTGTTGGCTCTATCTTCAAAGTTTATCTAGGATTCAACCACTTATCTCCAAGGATACCATTTGTTCCCAGCCCCCACCAGGGCTTACCTAGGGCAGTGCTTCTCAAACTTTAGTAGATAAAGGAAGCATCTAGGGGTCTGTTAAAATTCAGATTTAGGTTTGGTCTGGGTGAGGCCTGAAATTCTGCATTTCTTATCCATATCCCTGTATCTTCTCTCTCACTTCCTTAAGCTCCATCCTCAGGAAGGCCTTCCTGACCACCTGACAACACAGCATCCTTCCCTGAAGTCCCACTCTTATTCCCCTTACCCTGATTTATATATATTTGCTTGTTTACTGGTTTTCTTTTGCAAGTTTCCAGTAGATTCCACCGCTCAAGGTAGTAGGACCAGGATTCAAATACAGGCCTCCTACTGCTTCTGAAATAGTCATACCCAAAGCACTACAAAAAAATATTTATTGGGTGTTTGAGAAGGTTAAGCTTCTAAGTCCTTTCTTTCTTTTGCAATGCTAGGGATAGAATCCAGAGCCCTGAACATGCTATGTAAGAGGTCTACCACGGAGTCACAGACCAGCCTCCAAGCTTCTAATTCAAAAGTCAGGGTTCCCCTTCCTTTCAAAAGACAGTATAGGAGTGAGGGATATAGCTCAGCCATAAAGTACTTGCCTAGCATGTATGAGGCCTTGAGTTCAATCCTCAACACCTACTCCCAAACACACACATACAAGCACACACATAAACACACAACAATATAGCTGTACTTTAGCAACTGAAATTATACTACCAATTTATATATTAGCTTAAAATTTTTCTTTGTGCTTATTTATTTACCAAGATTTGAGTGTGACACTAATACTGCTTTATCCAGATGTTTACTTAAACCAACCAAACTTTTTGGTTTTAAATCTTACGCTAACTTGAAAATATTTAAATGCCACAGAGAACCCTAGGTTTCTACTTTATATTTTCTATGTGTTAGACAAGTCCCAAATACAATCAACAAATACCTCAGCTAAGCTCAGGAGGCTGAGCTGGAGTATTTCAAGATGGGAGGCCAGCCTCAGCAACTTAGGACCTATGCAACTTAGTGAAACCCTGTCTCAAAATAAAAATTTTAAAAAGTGGGGTGGGTTGGTGATGTAGCACAGTGGTCAAAAGCCCCTGTTCGATCCCCAGTATCAAAACAAAACAAAACAAAACAAAAAAACAACATAATATAAAAAATCTCAGCTATGAAATCTTAAGATCAAGTTGTTACTAGTTTGGCTGCTATTTTCTCTTCTAAATTGTCATCTTAGAACCATACAGTATCTTTTGCTTTTCTTGAGAAGTACCTGTCTTCTACATCAAGATAGGATAATGTATCACAACTCTGACCATAAAATATTATTTTCCTGGTACATTCAAGTTATTTTTCTTGAGTTTAAATTCATGGTGTCACATTTTTAAGAAGTTTCTCAAACTAATTCCTTAATTTTCTTCCCTCTATAATCGTCTCCTGAATGACTTTCTTACTCTAAACTTCTCACTCTTAGGACCAGCAGCACTGCAGATACTAGCAGCTCAGAGATGCCTCCTCGTCTCACCTCTGTAACCTCTTCCTTTCACACAGACCTGGGCTTCTCAGTGCCAGGTCACTGAACTCTGCATGTTGAGCCTGAGGACCAGAACAAACAAGGAAACACAGGAACAAATTCCCAAGCTCTTAGCAAATGGGAATCAAACAGATTAAGAATCTCTTCTTCTCAGTCCTGGAGGGCAAGTACTACATATCAAACACAGCAAACTGGCCTTTCTTAGCAGTGGAACTATCTTTAAACCAAACAAACGTTTCATGACACATTGGCAAAGCAGTCAAAAACAAGCTGCCATAAATACAGCGGCTCTAGTAGATGTAGGGAATGGGGTACGTGGGTTTATTTTTCCTCACATCAAGGCTTCTGAGGGCTGGGATTATGGCTCAGCGGGAGCACTCACTAGCACACATGAGGACCTGGGTTCAATCCTCATCACCACATAAAAATAAAATAAATAAAGGTATTGTGTCCAACTACAACTAAAATAAATATTTTAAAAAAAAAGGCTTCTGAGAAGAGATAACTGAGCTGAATCTTGAAATGCCAGGTAAAGTAAATAAGTAATCCAAGCAAAAAGAGTAACATACAAAAAAGAAAACAAACTTTTAATAATAGCACATTTAGAAATTCCTTAAAATTTCTACCTAGGGCTGGGGTTGCAGTTCAGTGGTAGAGTACCTGCCTGCCTAGCACTTGTAAAGCATTGGGTTCGATCCTCAGCCCCACATTAAATAAATAAATAAAGTTATTATGTCCATCTACAACAAAAATATTTTTTAAAAAGCTTCTATCTAAAAAATTAATTAGTCTAATAAGAAGTCAAAATTCATTTTGATGTCTAAATCAGAGACCCAGTCCTGGACTAAACTGAAAGCTTCTTCACCAAAATCCTCTTAAAACATCACAATCCCATACTCAAACTACTCACAAACCCCATATTTCCAGCTCTGACTCACTACACATCTTTTATCCCACTTCTCAGACTTGTGACTTACCTTAGTTTTCCTTCCACTGGTATATATTGGGTTTTTACAATATGCCTGCTTGCTCTTCTGAAGGTAGCGCTTCCAAAAATTATGTAAAACTTCATTCTAAGGTGGAAGGGAAATGAGTGGTGATTCAGGTTATGACAACAAATGTTCAGGTGCATATGTACCACAGAACCTCTTGTACTTTATATACTGCTTTCACCTAAATGCCTGCTTTTCCTCAAGTAGAAAGATAGTATAATAGCAGGTATGTAGGGAAAATGGAATAGCTCTTCTTAGTCTTACATTTCAGAGAAGAAAAGGACATTATAGATCACTTAGTTAAACCCTTCTCGTACATTTTAATTAAGGATCAGAGAAAAAAAACAACTTATACACCACCTAGTCAGGGTCAAAGCCCCTAACCCCTAGCACTAATAATGATTTCTTTTTAATTCTACTCTGAATCTTACTTTTCCAGCAATGAAATGTAAAGGTAACATCTAGACACTGGAAGACTTACCTTTAACTCAGGGCCCACTCCAAGAGCCTTTAGGGCTTCTGCTTGTTGGTAAAGTATGTACTGAAAACCTTCACACACATACCAATCCCAGCCTTTTTCTAAATGACAAATAACCACATGTTAGACATTTGCACTCCTAATTTACTAACTCGATGCTACTACATAATTACAATTTGTGTTTATACACTGTAACTTGAATTTTTCTGTGCTCCTGAATAGTTTCAATTCTTACATTCTCTTGTTTCTAGTCTGGAAAATTTGTACACAAATGCTAAAATTAAGCATTTTGTATAATTTCATATTTAAATGTTTTCCATCAACTGTGATTTTTTTGAAATATTAACCTATAAGGGAGAAAAATAAGTAGTTAGCACACTAAAAAAGTGAAAAAAGTTTTTGAAATGATATTTTACCAGACATTGTCAAACAGAATCCTAAATGAAAGCACTCAGTCATTGCTTCCATCACTCACAATAGCCCAGTAAATTACTTGGCAAAAGATGACAAATGTCAGGATCTGATAGTCCAAAAGTGTGAAAAAGGCAAAAAGAACATTCAAAGAAAATAAGCTGTTCAATGGCATTCTACTTTTCCAGATATAATTTTACATTATAAGGAGAAACTGAAAGCAAGAAATCTAATTCTTCCTGATCTCTGCCTACATACCAAGTTCGTACTAAAGTATTTTAAGTAAATTATTTTCTTGAATCCTCAAAACCATCCTAAGACATTATAAGAAATATGCCGCCACAATAGACGGCAACAGACAGAGCAAATGTTAAATGACTATGGCAACCAGTTAAAGAAAACATTAAAATTGTAACGCCACGATGTATTTTACTCCTCATTACAGGATAAATATAAGTATGTTATCAATTCTTTAAAAATAGCTTCTGAAGTCTGTTACTGTCTTCCAGAATCCTTCTCCCATACACGTGGCAGAGGACTCAACCCGTCTCCCCTACTTGAATGTCTCAGTGTCTCCCAACACCCTCCAGACTAACTCAATCCCATCCTGGAAGGGATCTCAGGGAGTAACAGAACGCTTGTATTTCTGATGCATCCATACACTGTCCCAGCATGCTGTTTCAGAAACTTAGAAACTGATAAAATGGGATTTTAAATTCTGAGTCTATTCCTATTTTACAAAATAAATGATATCACTCTTTTCACTTCAGAGATGAAGAGACTAAGAAGATAAGGTTGACTATAGACACTTAACCCCTTATTAAGCACCTAGAGTTCCTTGAAGAATTTACGATTAAACTTCACATTGTAACTATTTAAACACATCAAGTTTGAATTAATCAGGATTTACTCTGATAAAATTTAAGAAAAATTAATCAGGTTTTAGTCTAATTAAAATACAAGTGCTAAAATTAAGAATTTTGTATAATTTCAGATTTTAAATGTTTTTCATTAACTGTGATTTTTCTGAAATATTAACCTAAAAGGGAGACAAATAAATAGTTAGCATACTAAAGTCATCATTAAAAGCAGGGAACATGAGTTAATATTTAGGCATTCTCTGTTATTCATCTAAGAATGTCAATGTATTCCATGTAAATATTTAATTTTCATATATATATATATATATATATATGCACAATATTTTATGTATGTGTTATCTTCACAGCTACCTCATGTAGAAAAGTCTACTATTATCATTACCCTGGTTTCAAATTTGAGAATCTGGTCCTAGGTCATTAGTCACAAAAATAAAACGCTTCAGTGGACTTTACCTCCAATCCTTCTCAATAATGGTTAATTACATGTACTCATTAGATTAATAAAGTAGATTATCTTTCCAAGCACACCCATGCTGAGGCTATTTTAAGGGAAAATAATCTTCCTATTTTAAAAGGGTATGCTCAAAATTCAACATGAGAAATGGGCTTCTGAAAGTTTATTGTGTTTAACTTACCTAACTGCAGTTGAATGATTGTGGACAATAAGCATTTTCCTTGAAAAGCATAGAAAATCATATTTCTAATCAATAATAGACATGCAACAGAAGAACATATGCCAGTAGATAAAAATAAATGTTCCTTTTGCTATTATTATCTTTTGCATAATAGTTGCTCCACTGGAAAAGCAACTCAATGACAGTAATAAGGACTTAATAAAAGATATGCTTTAATACATCTGCTTTCAATTTTACAATCAATAGATACCAATTTTAATTCAATTTTGGAATATCTGCTGTAAAGCTAGCATTTTCTCTAGAATCTATTTAAACTTCCATTCCATGCCCCCAAATCATGACAGTGAAAGATGTGAATGAAGAATGTTAAGTGTGGGGCTGAGGCTGGGGCTCAGTGGCAGAGTGCTGCTTGCATGTGTGAGGCACTGGGTTCAATTTTCAGCACCGCATACAAACAATTAATTAATTAATTAAAGGTCCATTAATAACTAAAAAAATTAAAAGGAAAAAAAAAGTTAAGCACAAATGAAGAACGAGCTTACCATGCTTTCTTTTTCTTTTAAGCCCCCTGTTGATGGTTTTTATCTTGGCATTAGGAATAGCATCAGTGTTTATGACTTCCTTAGATCTCTACAGGAAACAAACACAGACCTTATGAAGGTTTTACATCGCCCATAGCGTCAAGTATGCTCTGCAAAGTATAATACACCAAATTGCAAACGCCAAGACCAATCGTGGTCTTGGGAAAATCATATAAGTTGTAACATATTGGCTAAACTTTATGTTGCTTTTTCATTAACAATTTCTTTCTTTCTTTTTTCCCCAGGGCTGAGGATGGAACACAGAGGAACTCAGGGCCTTGGGTGTTTACTAGGCATGGCTCTGCCACTGAGCCAAATCACCAACCCCAACAATTTCTTGATTCTTAAAACAGTGCCTAAACATAGTAACCACGAGGTGTCTGTTAAATGAATAAACTTTATTTTAAATCACTGATTAACTCTATTAAACAAAATCAAAAGTCAAAGAGGCTATAAAACTTGTTTTTTTGTTTTGTTTTGTTTTTTAAATGTATTAGTTCTAATCAGTTATGCATGACATAGAAAGCACTTTGATTCATTGTACTTAAATGAAGCAGAATTTCTCACTTCCCTGGTTGTACGTGAAGTAGAATCACACATTTGTGTAATCACCATGTAGCTAGAGTAATGATATTGGTCTCATTCCATCATCTTTCCTACCCCTTTGCCCCTTCCCTTCCTCCCCTTTGTCCCATCCAAAGTTCCTCCACTTATCCCATGGGTCCCCCCAATATGTATTAGCATCCACTTATCAGAGAAAACATTCAGCACCTGGTTTTTTTAGATTGGCTTATTTCACTTAGTATGATATTCATAACTCCATCCATTTACCTGCAAATGCCATAATTTTATTCTCTTTTAATGCTGAGTAATAAGTACATTGTGAATATGTACCAGTTTCTTTTTACATTCATCTGTTGAAGGGCACTTAGTTTGCTTCCATAGTTTAGCAATTGTGAATTGTGTTGCTAAACACATTGAAGTGGCTATGTTACAGAAGTATACTATTTTAAGTCTTTAGGGTATAAACCAAAGAGTGGGATAGCTGGATCAAATGGTGGCTCCATTCTAAGATCTCTAAGGAATCTCCATATTGCTTTCCATGTTGGCTGTACCAATGTGCAGTCCCACCAGCACGGTGTGAGTGTGCCTTTTCCCCCACATCCTCACTAACACTTATTGTTGCTTGTATTCTTTTTTTTTTTTTAAGAGAGAGTGAGAGAGAGAGAGAGAGAGAGAATTTTTTTAATATTTTATTTTTTAGTTTTCGGCAGACACAACATCTTTGTTTGTATGTGCTGCTGAGGATCGAACCCAGGCCACACACAAGCCAGGCGAGCGCGATACCACTTGAGCCACATACCCAGCCCCAAACTGTTGCTTGTATTCTTAATGATTGCCATTCTGACTGGAGTGAGTCAGAATGAAATCTTAGAGTACTTTTAATTTACATTTCTCTAATCACTAGAGATTTTGAACATTTTCTCATATATTTGTTGATTTATTATATATCTTCTTTTGAGAAGTGTCCAGTTCCTTAGTCCATTTATTGACTGGGTTATCTGTTTTTTTGGCTTAAGTTTTTTGAGTTCTTTGTATATCCTGGAGATTAGTGCTCTATCTGATGTGCATATGGTAAAGATTTTCTCCCATTCTGCCGGCTCTTTCTTCACATTATTGATAGTTTCCGTTGCTGAGAAGAAGCTTTTTAGTTTGAATCCTTCCCATTTATTGATTCTTGATTTTATTTCTTGTGCTTTGGGAGTCTTGTTAAGGAAAGTCAGGTCTTAATCCGACGTAATGAAGATTTGCTGACCCTGTGTGCTTTGAGCAAATTCCTTTCCACAGAGCAGAGTCCTATTAGCCTATCCAGCAATAGACTGTCCATACTTTGATTATTTTGGTTATACTGGTCTGAAGATGTGGTCACAGGACCTAGAGCTTCTAGTGTGACATCTCATTTACCAAAGTTAAACGGACAGTATAACAATTTCTATCTTAAGAAGCAGGTGTGATGTGGTAAAAGGAACCATGGAGTTAGAAGACTCAGGTTCCAGAATTTGGAAAACTCATTCAACTCTTGAGCCCCATTTGCTCCATCAAAAATAGGCACAACAGGTTGTTATGAGAAGGAAATGAGATAATAGATAAGGAAATACTTTGTAATTTGTATGGCACAATAGAAAGATAAAATGAAAATGGCTCAATATAACTTCAAAAGCTCATCCTCAATCTAATTTACAAATTCCTTCATTCAAGAGTGAGAATTTAAAGACTACTTAAATTCTTAGAATTTGGGTACTGTATGAGTGATAAAGTTTATCAGTTTTTTTGAGAACCACTAGGCTGAAACTGCAATTTTTAAAACTTAAGAAAACTCATAAAAAACATGTTACTTACTTCTGTAACATTGTGACAAGAAGTGCAATAATATTTGCCTTCATCAGTAAGACCCCAAGAGACAGCATCACATTGAGAACAGCGTTCTTTAAACTCTTCCTATAGAAGAGGGAAAAGGTGTTAATATAAAACCACATTCAGTTTAAACCCTGCAGTTATTAGTTCTACTTGGAGGGTTCCTGTCAGTTTTACCCTATAAATTAAAAAAAAAAAATTCACAGAAAATATATCAGAGATATCTGTAAACAAGGAGAAGATCTCAATCTCTTAAGCAATATGAAACTCAACTGCAGACAACGTGCTAAAATATGCAGTCTGTGAGGGGAGAAAAAAAAACACATGATAGGGATAAACTGAAATAAGGACAAATAAATAAAACTCCTTGAAAGTGCTAAGAAAAAAATGATGAAATAAAAGTATAAATAAGACTTTAAAATTACATGTACCATTTAGAAATTCCTCTAGGGCATTAAAAACACATACTTGTTGTTTCTAGTTTTGATTTATTCATTCAACAGTATAAAAAGTATCAACTGCATGAGTACTAGGCATTTTACTAAGTGCTGGGAGTCAATGGTGAGCAAAAGAGACTTGGAACCTACTGGTAGCAAATATGTATATCTTAAGGTAAGCAACCATTAAGTTCATCCATTTAGCATTTAGACATTAACCATTCAGTTAACATTGATTGAGCGGGGTATGGTGGCGCAGGCCGGTAATCCCAGAGACTCAAGTTCGAGGACTGTCTCAGCAACTTCTTGAGGCCTTAAGCAAGTTAGCGAGACCCTGTCTCCTATAGTAGATACACACATAGGTCTGGGACGTTGTCCTGTGGCACAGCGCCCGGGTTCAATCCCCCATACCCACCCGACCAAA